TGTCTTTCAACACAAAAAGTGAACTTTGGGAACAATATGTACAAAATTTGGGCATATGTTTCTGTTTGCCGAGTAAATTTGAGTGGGGCTCAGAGAGGGGAAGTGATGAGGGGTCTGTAAGGCAACACCCTTGCATTTGGCCCTTTTCACCAGCGAAGCTAGTCAGCATGTGCCAAGTGTCTGTGGCACATAACAACATTGTGTAACAGACTTGATAGGATAACCACAATCATAGCATATGGAATGCATACACACACACACACACACACACACACACACACACACACATTTTCCCCTGAGAAGTCACTTATGGCTTCCACATGGGTCTCAGTAGACAGTATATCCTACCATAGTTCATACATCACTAATACCATACAATATAAATTGCCAATTATTACTGGGTATTACTGGATCCACCAAATTTTGAAGTTGGGTATGTAACACAAAAGGCCACTGTAAAAGGGAAGAGGTATGTTTCAGACTTGTTATGGACTGAGTTATCTCTCACAAGCCACCAACAATTCATATGTTGAACCCTAGCCTTCAGTGCAACTATTGGAGACAGGTCTTTAAGACACTGGGATGCATAGACATAAAAGAAAGACTGTATGAGAACACAGCAAGAAGATGGCCATGTGCCAATGGAGGTCTCAAGAGAAACCAATGCCACCAGCATCTTGGCCTTGGACTTCCGGTCTCCAGGACCATGGATGATGACTTCCTATGGTCTGAGCTAGTCAATGTGTGCTGTGTTATTAAGAGACCAGAGACCAGACTGACCTGCCCCGAATCTATCTGAATGTGCCCAGCTTTGAATGATTCTGTTTTCGAAAGCAACAGCCTTGACCCGAGTCACTTCACTTTGAGTATAAATGCCAAGAAAGACCGACTCTGTACATCTAGTTTACACAAGGGACAGCCATCATCTGTCAGCAAAGCAAAAGACACAAACTGGTGAATAATTTACTCACGTCAATCAATAATGCTACTTGAAAGTACACAAATTATATCAGAAATGCCAGGTGCATGAGCTTATCAACCACAGCAGATGCAACCCTGTCATCAGGACTATAAAAGACCAACTACCCTAAGACGGAGATGGAGAAAGAAAGTCTGGTCACCTGGTCACTTCCATGAGCCCCGCCCAGGAGAGCTGTTGGAGGAAAGGACTCCTGCCTCTGTCCTTGGGCTCCAGCCCAAGTGTATCTCCCGATTGACACTCAGTTCATACTAAACTAACTGTACCTTGAACAACCTGCCACCAGAGCTGCACCTGACATCACTGTACCGGAACAGTTCTGTGGTCACAGGTTAGTGAGACTTCTTATCTGGACCCTACAGACTGTTTCCTATGTCTGTAGCCCATTATCACTGCTGTTCCCACTGCCCTCATCATTGTGGGAAGTAGAATGTGCCATCTGAAAAGCAATATTAGAAATTAAGATTGGAATGTAAGGGGCAGGAGAGCTGGCTCAGTAGTTAAGAGTCCTTGCTGCTCTTTCGAAAGAACTGAGTTCAATTCTCAGCACCCACATTATGTAGTTCACAACCTCCTATAACTCCAGCCTCCAGGGGATCTGATGCTCTGCTCTAGGTTCTGCATATAAACACACACACACACACACACACACACACACACACACACACACACACACACCACATACACACAATAACTAATAAAATAAACCTTTAAGAAAAGATTGGCATGAACCTGTGATTAGCAATGGCCAGCTATCAGGCAAACTCAAGAATACTTGGTCCATTGTAGCCAATGAAACTGATGTAGCTTGTGAATTTTCAAATGTATCTATGTTTCTGATATAACTCACAACAGCCTAACAAACCAAAATCAACATAAGATTATTTCCATTTGGGTGCGCCTGTGCAGTCCCAGCACTTGGGAGGTGGAGGCAGGAGGATCAGGAGTTCAAGGTTAGCCTCAGCTCTGTAGCAAGTTCAAGGTTAGCCTGAGCTATGTGGGAATCTGTCTCAAATAAAACATTTAAAAAAATAAAGGATCTGGGTATAGTGGCACATGGGTTTTTATCTCAGAGCTTGAGGGGTGTAGGCAAGGTGACCAGGAATTCAATGTCATCCTCAGCTGCATGTCCTAGAGCTCTTCATCTTGTGATGTGGGCAGCTTCCCTCTGAGAGCACTTGCTCTCCTGCTCCCTCCCTGCTCTACCTGCAGTGAAGGTTTTATGGAAAGGTCCCTAGAACAAGTTGGCTGAGGCATTCAAAGTAGAGCCAGGGTACAGATGATTCTGCCTGTGTGGCTGGTACAGGCTCCGAGACTCCTGGCAGCACCAGAGCTTTCCAGCTGGCCTGCGATGTGGTCCCACACCTGGGGAGCCAGCAGTCATCTGTCTTCATTGGAACAGACCCTTGTTCTGGGTATGGTTTTGTGTGTGTATGTGAGAGAGACAGGGGTTTTCTTGTTTGTTTGTTTTTTTGTTTTTGTTTTTTTTGTTTTTTGTTTTTTTTGGTTTTGGTCTTGGTTTTGGAGACAGGGTTTCTCTGTGTAGCTTTGCGCCTTTCCTGGAACTCACTTGGTAGCCCAGGCTGGCCTCGAACTCACAGAGATCCACCTGGCTCTTCCTCCCGAGTGCTGGGATTAAAGGCGTACACCACCATCGTCCGGCTAGGGTTTTTCTTTGTGTAGGCCTGGCTGTCCTGGAACTCACTCTGGAGACCAGGTTGACTTCAAACTCACAGAGATCTGCCTGCCTCTGACTCCTGAGTGCTGGGATTAAAGACCTGTGCCGCCACTGCCCAGCCTGGGGTATGGCTTTTGTTTTCAGTCCACTGAGATTTCTCTGGTATTGTCACCTGGAGACTCAGTGGCTTGACCACCCCCGCACCCCCTCACCCCCTGGTGTGTGTGTGTGTGTGTGTGTGTGTGTGTGTGTGTGTGTGTGTGTGTGTTGAACTCAGGGCCTCACAAATTCTAGTTAAGCGCTCTACCGGGCTGTAATCTCAGAACCTTGGAAGAGCTTCTTTAAGGAATCAATTGGCCAAAGCTGGAGAGCAGGCCTTGAAGGGCAGAACCCCGTGCTATCAGATATAATTTCCTGCAATCATTAGTAAGTGGTTCTTGTTTCCTGCTGCCAGGATGGGAGACTGCAGGAGCTTTGGGAGAGGTGACCCTCAGCATTGCTTCTAATGGTCTACTTGCAAAAGCATCTGCTTCCAGTGCCCAGTGCTCTGTGCTCTGCTGACTTAGAGCCTTGGCAGTGTGTGTGTGTGTGTGTGTGTGTGTGTGTGTGTGTGTGTGTGTGTGTGTGTGTTGCATGTGTTCTGCTAGATCATGGTCTATCTGAATGATACTCTTCACTCCAGAGTTCACCCTCCCTGGATTTATCCTGTCATCCAATCTGCCAGCAGCTCAGAACTCACTCTGTCGGGTGAAGGCCCAGACAGAATATATATATATATATATGGTTTGTTGTTCTGTTTTGAGACAGAATCTTATTCTGTAGCCCATGCTGGTCTGATATTTACTCTGTAACCCAGGTGGACCTCTGACAAGCCTCCTGACCCAGCCTTCTGGACTGGGATTATGCCACCACACCTGGCCACATTTAGAAGTGGGAAAGAAAACAAACATGGAGGTACAGACCTGTAATCTGAGCTACATAGAAGGCTGAGGCAAGAATATTGCAAGTTCAAGAGCCGCCTGGCTACACAGCCAGACGAAGATAGTGAGACCTGTCACAGAATAATTAAAAAAAAAAAAAAAAGGCCGAGCTGGAGAGATGGCTCAGAGGTCTCAGAGGTTAAGAGCACTGACTGCTCTTCCAGAGGTCCTGAGTTCAATTCCCAGCAACCACATGGTGGCTCACAACCATCTATAATGAGATCTGGTGCCCTCTTCTGGTGTGCAGACATACATACAAACAGAACACTGTATACATAATAAATAAATAAATCTTAAAAAAAAAAAGTTAAAAAAAAAAAAAAGGCCAGTTGTCACTGTGCCTGTAATCCCAGTACTCCGGGGGCAGATGCAGGGGTTAATTATAAGTTGAGGCCAGTCTGGTTAATTATTGTAAGTTCCAGGACACCCAAGGAGCCTATGCTATGGTTAGGTTATTCTATATTAATTTAGAAACAGTGTCTCATTATATAGCCCTGGCTCCCCCTGGAACTCACTATGTAGTATATAGACCAGGCACAGAGATTTCTGTCTGCCTCAGCCTCCCAGTTGCTGGGAATGAAAGTTGTATACCACAATCCCTGGATGTGATTTAATTGTCAACTTGGCACAAGCTAGATGGAGTTACCTGGGAAGAGAGTCTCCATGAGAGTTTGTTTACACTGGTCTGACCTGTGGGCATTTCTGCAAGGAATCGTCTTAATTAATTGATGTGCGAAGATCCAGTTCCCTGTGGGTGGTACCATTCCTGTGCAGCACCCCCACCCCCCAACTGTATAAAAGTGAAGAAATGGAGCTGGACGCAAGCAAGCAAGCAAGCAAGCAAGCAAGCAAGCAAGCAAGCAAGCAAGCAAGCAAATAAGCCAGCAAGCAAGCATTCCTTCCTCTCAGTTCTTGACTGCAGATATGATGTAACTAGCTGTTTGAAGTCCCTGCCTTGCGCTTCCCAAAATGATAGACTGGAATTATAAGCTGAAATAACTTATTTGTTCCCTAAGTTGCTTTTCATCAAGGACACTAGGACACCCTATCACAGGGCAAAACAAAACAGTGAGGCAACACAGTGCTGAGATACAGCTTATTGGCAAAGCACTTGGCCCTAGGTTCCATCTCCAGTATAAGAAGGGACAGGGGGCAGAGAGAAGCGGGAGGGCAGAGCTGTGAGTGTTGGGATAGAAATAACAATTGCTCGCTGAAGCCTGAAAGCGTTTCTCTCCCCACGGAGCCTTGGAAAGCCGCGCTTGGAGCCGGGAAGCCAAGGGTTAAGGGTTGGAACACCCACGTGCAACTCGCGGGCGCTGCTCATGGCTGCTCACATCCAGCACGCAATGAGGGTGAGTGATTCCTACCACGGATAGTCCCTCATATGCGCGTGGCCCTCGGCGACCCGCAGGCATATTTGAGCTGGCTGGTTTTTAGAACCCTGCCTGGTGCAGCAGGGTCCTCTGCAGCCCCAGGGTCATTTTTCCACAATGTCATTTCTCACTTTAACGGACCTGAGACTTGTTTCTTAAGAATAAGCGAAGCGATCTGGGGAAGCCAGGGGGCGGGCGACACTGGGCCGGCGCCGGCTGGAGCGCCCGCAGGGGCGGGCCGGGGTTCGGGGCGCTGCCCGCGGTGACGCGCGGCCCCCGCCCGCCGCAGCGACACTGCGATGGTTGAGCCGGGCCGTCGGACGCCGCCACCCGAAGCCTGATCGTGGGGAACCTTGGTGAGCAGTGTCACGGTCCTTGGGATCCTACGCACCCCACAGTTGACCGGGGAGGGGACGAGGGGCGCGCTCATCATGGCCCTTTACGCTCCGCCCGTCACCTGGCAGCGAGTATCTAGGGCCGGCGGATGCAGGCTGGAGGTGGCGCGGGGTGCCGGGATGACACCGGGATGGAGCGAAGTGGGGACGCCCAGAGTGGCGGAGATGGCACCGGAATAGAGAAGGGTGACGACACCCAGGGTGGATGGGATGGCGCAGGGTGGCGACTCTGGGGTGGCACCGGGATGGAGCAGGATGGCACCGGCATGGAGCAGGGTGGCGGGGCTTGCTCGACCTCTCCCTCCCAACCCCCGTGATCAGGGGTCCGGAGGCCTTGCCTGGGTTGGGGGTCTTCTTTGCCTCTCTAGGAGATTTCTCGCGCTCCAATGGCCATTTATTTCACCGCCCCGGTTTCCCGCGGTGTGCGGGAGCAGGGCCAGCCTTGCGCAGGCCTAGGGAGCCGCGGGTGACGCTGCGCTGGGTGTGGACGCGCAGGTGCGCCACCGCCAGGGATTCGCGACTTGTCTCTACAGTACCTCCACCGAGATGGTGCCGCTGGGGCCTTTTTAGATTTTTATTTTGGGGCAGGTGGCTTAAAATTTTCCCAGGTCCCCCTTTCCGGGATGGACATACAGCAGTGGGATGCTGATGATATGCGAAGGCCACCCAATTACTGTTTGCTTGCGTTTGGGAGTTGGTGAGAGGACATTGGCCTGGCCAGTTTACCGAGGAAAAAGATCTGCCTGTCCGTTGACCTCGCCTGTTTAAAAAACAGGATTTAAAAAAAAAAAACAAAAAAACAAAACCTTCTGCTTCCCGGCTAGATTCAGGCTTTCTCCACAAGGTGGTGAAACGCTCAAAGCCCCCTTTTGCAGGCTGCCTGTAAATATAGGAAGCTGGTGGTGAAGCCGGCGGTGACTCACAGATCTGGGTGCTCACTGGCAGAACAGCAGGACACCAGAAATGGTTCTGGCTGTGGTTGTGGGTCCCAAACTAGGCTTGGGGTGTGGGTGGAGCGAAGAAGGCCAGCGCCTTCTTTCTACCAAGGTGCGGAATTAAAAAAACAGGGCACAAGGCCGTCTTGGCCCTCTTCTCTCGGAAAGCAAATGTGTGGTTGTGAATTTATACCCTTATAGCATTCACCTGCAGTATTTCACTCTACACTGGGGGAGGAGGAACCTGGTTTACCTTCTTGTAACTAAGCTTTGAGGCACAGAAACGCGTCGACATTGGGAGTGTTTTCTGCAAGAAGAGCACTGGCCAAGCCCATGTGGTTCCATGTGGTTTCTGTGTCTGTGAACCTGTGTCCCCCTGCCAGGGGCTGCCCTGGCAGAGCCAGGTTCCGTGGCTGTAAGGAAGTACCGTACAAACTGGTCTGATCCTAGTTTACAAGAGTCAGCCATGTGCGAGCCACCACAGCTAGTTCACATACTAGGTAAGTACACTTGTGATTTGGAGAGGAAAAGATGGATGTAGGCTGAGTCCTGATGGCCCAAGGAACCTCTCACTAGGGGGCCTTGCTTCCTTGCCTCTCTCATTTCTCACACTGGAAGAATCTGCCACCCACAATGGCAGCTGATAGCAGGTCTGGAGTTTGGGTACCGAAGTTTGTGTTCATTGTAATTTCACAGTCCGGTAGAATGGAAAATGTTATCATAATTAAAAAAAAAATATTGCTGGGCGTGGTGGCTCATACCTGTAATCCCAGTACTCTGGAGGCTGAGGCAGGAGGATTGCTTTGAGTTGGGGCTGGGCTACAGAGTGTGTTCTCCACCAACCTGGGCTACAGAACATGACCTTGTCTCAATACTGAGTTCAATAAAAAGTTGTTATTACGAGAAACGGAAAGACAAGAAAGAGGATCCCTGTCAGAAGCAGTGGTGCAGGCATCGTCCTGATTCTCTTAGGGCGGGGGTTGCACGTGAATCCTTCACCATCCGCTTGCCTAGGTCTCTAGTGAGAGCATCGTGGCCTTCTCTGTCAGAACATCCAGATGGGCTCTTTCCCCACCTCCCTTCTATTTTTGGCTTTATTATGGCAGGTGAGAGCACTTTTCAGGATGTCTATCCTCCTAACAGATTCTAAGCATAATGGTTTCGGTGTGAAATGTCTCCCACGGGCTCATGTGTGAACATCTTGTCTCCAGAGCCCCAGCCGCCGAGCCCCCTGCTGTGAAACTGAACTACAAAAAACCCCCACTCCTCCTCTAAGTTCCCCTTGACCTAGTATTAGGTGGCAGCAACGAGAAAAGCCACACATAGAGTTCATAACACGCCTAGTGTCAAGCATGGCCAATTATCAGCTGTGAGCACAGTGTCGTATAGTAGATATCTGGAGCGTGTGTCTGCTCCCACCGCCCACCATTGCAATCTTATGAATGTCTGGCTTGACCGTGGTGGATACCTCACAAGTGGAGCCATGTGTCCCTTTCCTGCCTGTGATTGGCTGGCTTGACTTTCCACAATATCCTTACGCAGCATGTTCAACCATGCTACTGTACATGGTGCAAATCCTTCTTTGTCAAAACCAATATCTCACCATGTGTACCCCCACAGTTTTCAATGCCCCCCCTTTTTTTTTGGTTTTTCGAGACAGGGTTTCTCTGTGTAGTTTGCTCCTTTCCTGGAAATCAGTTGGTAGCCCAGGCTGGCCTCGAACTCACAGAGATCCACCTGGCTCTGCCTCCCGAGTGCTGGGATTAAAGGCGTGCGCTGCCACCACCGCCCGGCTCAGTTGCTTCTTGATGAGTGCTCTTAGCCCACTTTATGTGAATGGGTTTGCTATGGGTCACTACAATATCATGAGCGTGTGTTAGGGAGTCAGGAGTTGGCTGGGAGGGAAGTGGCCTCAGGAGGGCTATGTGTGCTCCACTGGGCTTGCCTTGTCCTGGTGTGGTTGTGTGTGGGAGCGAGGAATGGTGCTGAGGAAGAGGACAGCACCGTGGGCTGTGTTCCCGGAGCTGCTGTCCCAGCTTGGGTACAGGTACCACAGCCTGGAGCTGGGAAGAGCATGCTGCTAGCAGTGTTCACAGCCCGGTTGGGTGTTTCCTTTGAGTGTTAAGAATATAGGAGGCTTGGTTAGGGTGCAGCCCACACTGGCTGTTCTAGGCCAGCAAGGCTACTATATCCACCAGGTCTCCTCAAACCCTGTAGGTATACTCTATGGTTGATGGCTGTCTAGGAATAGAGAGACTTGAACAGAAGTCTTTGCCTGGTATGGCTGGCACAGTAAAGGGAACAGCTGAGATGCAGAGGGGCTTAAACTGTCCCTGGCAGTAGGTGGAACTTAAGGGCAAGGTCTATTGTGGTGTCCACACGGATCGTCACCTTTTAGGAAACCTGGTCTGCCCTGCTGAGGCCCTGGCACCCTTTTCATGTTGTGTATCTCTTTCTTCACTGCCCTGTGTAGTAAGCCAGCTTGGATTACCTAGTCTTTCTTTCTTTCTTTCTTTCTTTCTTTCTTTCTTTCTTTCTTTCTTTCTTTCTTTCTTTCTTTCTTTCTTTCTTTCTTTCTTTCTTTC